TTCACGGTACCCAGTCAAAGTCTAAACAAGAAAGGCAAGGAGAAAGGCAGGCCCCTCCTTTGCCACGCACCATGCCCTGCGGGGACCCGCCAGGCTTATCCCCACACTGTCCCCTTGGCCTCAGGCACTCTTGTGCAAGAGGCATCATTCAGTCATTTCCATCTTATGGAGGAAACTGGGGGATTGAATTAAACCCACAGCTCAGACTCACGGGCCATGTTGCCCTGACAACCAGAGGAAGATGCTGAGGAAGGCCAGGGGGGGGGCGAGGCAGTACAGGGCCCAGGACTTACTCGCCATCAGCCAGGTTGTCTGGGCAACTGGAGATTCATCTCCAAGCCAAGGCCACCCCTTCTCTACCTCTGTCTTTCCAAGACAGAGAAGCCAAACGTTGGGACCTTCCCACAGAACATAGGACAAGGCTCAGTGTGGGCTCAGTGACTGCCTAGGATGACAATCATGTCCATTCTCCAAAAGAAACTTGCCGGGGACATGTGACCCGGGTCCTATAAAACCTCTGCTTCCTCGTGGCCCAAGACCTTTGTGTGGAGGCTCAGGGGGTGCACGCATGTACTGGACTTAGCTGGAGTGGAACTTCACATACCTCTCTCCCTTCCTCAGCTCCAGAGGCCAGGAATCAGTCTTGACAGTTGAGCCCTGCAGTGTCACCATCTGAATGGGCATGAAATGTCTGCATGGTGGGGTGGGGGTGGGGTGCAGGGTGGATTGTCTGCTACAGTGTCCTCTGCACAAAGTGTGTGGGCACAGGCACAAAGGGGCCAGGTAGGCTTCCCTGTTCTGCAACCACCCAAACCTACCAAAGGCCATTGAGCTAATACTGACACATATGGACCCTACATATGGACAGAGTAGAACTGCCCCATGGAGTTCCCAAGGCTGAGATCTTTCTGGAAGCAGGCTGCCTCATCTGCCTTTCATAGAGTGGTTGGTGGCTTCGAATCATCAGCCTTGTAGTTGGCAGCCTGATGCTTAACCCAAGGCATCAACACGGCTCCTTTCTTCAAGCACAGAGCCATTTACTCACGATTCCAGCCAGGCTTGGCTCGTGTGTAGGACACTTACACATGCATCAGGGATGCATTTTTATTTTTCCCCAGTGGGACATCTATGAAACTCAAGTTCAGCTCACCCAACCCCAGAAGTTGCCTGGGCTCACCAGTCTGACTACTGAAAAACGGATTACACATCCTCACCGCCACCTCGGTTCTCCAGTCCTTGTGGAATGAGGTGGGTTAGTAAGAAAACAGTCTGCTGTCTGGTGGCTGTCTGCATAGACAAGCTCGCAGAGCCCAGGAAAGGGTCTCTTCTCTGGCGCTGACATATCCACTATGGGGGCAGGAGCTTGGGGTACAGGTGATGGAAAGAAAGCCAAAGGCCCCATCCACATATGCAGAGCCCTGAGTCAAGGAGAGATGGAGGGACAAGAATCAGACTGTCCCCTTGTTTCCTCTCTCTCTACTGTCCTGGAGCCCATTCTCAAGGTGCCCTATGCAGGACAGAGTAGAACTGCCCCATAAGCTCTGTCTTATGCAGGACAGAGTAGAATGGCCTCATAGGCTTTGCCCTATGCAGGACAGAGTAGAACGGCCCCATGGGCTTTGCCCTATGCAGGACAGAATAGAACTGCCCCAAAGGCTCTGTCCTATGCAGGACAGAGTAGAACGGCCCCATAGGCTCTGTCCTATGCAGGACAGAGTAGAACAGCCCCATAGGCTCTTCAAGGGCTTGGGATCTCTACAGGAGCAGGCGGTCTCCTCTTTGTCCTGTTGAGTGACTGGTGGTTCGAACCACTGATTTTTCCATTAGCAGCCAATGATGAACCCACTGCACCACCCAAGGCTCCTGTGAGTGTCCATACCCATTGCCAGCGAGTCTGTTCTTGTCTGTATGCCCATTGAGGCAAGTCCATCTGTAGATCTGTATGGGAGCAGACAACCTCATCTTTCTTCCACAGAGTGGCTGGGGGGTGAGAACCACCAACCTGTGGTGAGCAGCCCAGAGTCTAACACACAACACCCCCTTTTCAATGCTCAGAGGCGCTACCTTTCCTCCTCTTCCAGAACCCCATGAACACCTGAAGGGAGGATGGGCCTTACACTTAGTCTCCAGAAGTATGGGCTATAGAGACTAGAGAACAGGGCAGGGAGGGCATAAACATTGGCCCCCAGCGCCCCCTCTGACTGATTGGTAAGACTACAGTCTGCCCCTCCTTTCCTCCTATCCTCCTCTGGTTGTTGGGAGTGAGGGTGGCCTCTGTGGCACAGGAGGAAGGCAAGAACGACTTGGCCACATCCTGACGGGCCCTGCTGGGTGGACACCTTCCTCCCTTCCCCACAGTGCACATAGCCTCATCAACGCCAAAGTGAACTTGCGTCGGTCCACAAGGGCCAGAAACACTGACACTTGGAACTGTTCATGTCATCCAGCAGGGGGCTGGCCTTGGCTCAAGGTGGCCTGAAGGTCTCTGGCCACTTTCCACGCATTCGTGACTGTCTATGACTGTCTACGACCTTCTCACGGTCTTCCCTCTCCGCCCCCTGCAAGATGGAGAGTGGCCAACATAGTCTTGAGTTGACACCCTGACCTCTAAATCTCCTATCTGTGAGGAGCAATCACTCATTTGACTTGAAGAAGCCAACAGCTGCCCGGATTATAAAGTAGGAAAACCAAGAGCCTCTGGTCTGCAATCCATCACCTCCCTGCTGTTGCCGACAATAAGCACGGCCGACCCCCCTCAGCTCTCTGGGCCGCTGTGCCAGGTGTGTTTCGTGTCTGCTCTGCACCCATGCACTCAGCATCTCCACACTGCCTAACAACAGACTGCAAGGGACACCACAGAGCAGACTGCAGTCTATCGCAACGGGACAGCATGGTAGGTCCCCGGAGTCATCCGTTTCCTCCCCTTTGGGCCAGAGCAGATCGTGCAAGCTGGTTGGGATGTGGTTCCAGCCAAGGACACTACTGAGTCAGGGGTGCTCTCCCGGGAACTTAAAATCAGTGGGCGCGCAACAGTGGCTTGAAGTGTGCAGCCCAAGTACAGGTGGGTGAGTTTTTTGAAGAATCAAAATATCGATCTCAGGATGCAAGGGAGGATTATACCTAAGGCAAAACACGACTCCCGTCATTATTCAAGACTGCATGAAGGGTCAGAGGGGTGGAAGAAGTCAGGGGGGGGGGGCAGAAAGCACACACAGGCCACAGTCCCAGAGGACATGCCACATCCACGTGGCTGCAGTGTGCCCAGGACACCAGCCTGGCTCTTCCAAATTGCTTCCTCAGCCTCTGCTGAGAAGCAGAGTTCCAGTGTGTGTGTGTGTGTGTGTGTGTGTGTGTGTGTTAGGTGTAGGGGTGGCATTTAATGGCTGATATGACATAGCTAGGCCTAAACTATCATTTTTCAGGAACGCTGTATATGTGTACAGGTATATATATATATATATATATATATATATATATATATATATATATATATATATATATATATATAGAGAGAGAGAGAGAGAGAGAGAGAGAGAGAGAGAGAGAGAGGCGCTGTATATATGTGCACACATATAGGAGGCTAGTTGCACACATACATGTAAATTCCTTCTACAAAGCGGAGTTCATCACAGTTTTTCAAAGATGGCTCTTTTGCCTGCTCATTGGTATGCTCAGCCGGCTGAGAGGCTGGTGACGGTTTTTCCCTGACCAAGCTGGTTCTGGAAGCACTGGCGGAGTAAGGGTGGCAGTGCAGGGCGGCTGACCGAGCAGACGACGACGATAACAAGGATGGCGCCTGCAGGGAAAGGCCATGGGAGCCGCCACACTGGGCCGGGCTGTCGTGGCACTGGACGATGAGGAGGAGGGACCGCCACCCCCAGAGGAACTGCCTTTGACCTGCTTCCCAGGGCTGTGTTGGGAAAGGGCAAACTGCAGAGGGGGTCTGGCCCCAGGGCTGATCGCCTGTCATCTGGCGGGTCCTTTGCTGGGGACCCTCCAGGACCCACCCTACTTCCGTGGCCTCGGTTTCTCTCTTTGTCAACGTCTTCTGTCCTTTCTGTACCCTTGTGACAGGTTTGCCACAGCCCAGATCATTCCGTACTCGAAGCGTTCTTCCGATACCTCGGATTGACGCCGTCAATGTACTCACAAAGACCCCTCCATCACTACCGAAGACAGATGCAGGGCCACTTCCCAGGAGGAGAAGGCGTCTGCGCAAGCAACGTCGCTGCAGGTGCCCAGCAAGGGAACCGCTCCCGCCTTCCCACCTTTGTTCAGAGGCAAGGCAGCGTGGACAACATGCCCATGAGCACCTCACTGCAATGCTTCCTGGGTGCCGGTCAGAAGGACGACTTGCACACTGACATTGCTCCCTCATACACGGGCTCGACGTTACTCACACGCTACATCTGCGGACCAGCCACCGGCAATCTGCCCCCACAACACCTGCGTCATCTTCAGAACCACTCAGGAGGGCACTGAAGCTGACCAGACTGGTGCTGTCCAGCCTGGCCGATCCTGACGCACGCTGACCCCATGGTCTGCAGAGCAGAGCGAAGCCTCCCAGCATCTCCAAAGCTGTGGCCTTTCCGAAGCAGACAGCCAGACCTGTCTTCAGAGGCACCCCTGGGTGGCTTCGAACCACCAACCTTTTAGTGACGAGCCAAGCACATGAGTGTTTGAGACATCGGGGGATACCTTGCAACTAAGCATCCTGGTTGCATGTTGAGTCTGGGCAGCGATGAGGAGACAGTTGCACCAAAGCACAGCGTCTGGGGAGCCAGTGGTGGGGGTGGTGGGGTGCTGAGGGGTAGCCTTAATGCCAGGCAGCAAGAAGGAGGTCGCATTTAAAGGGCAGGAGAAAGGGCAGCTCTGCTGCAGTTTTCTTAATGCTAGTTCAGGAAATGTACTGTGTGAAGACCTCAGAGAACCAGACTGGGAGGGGGGTGGGCAGCTACCCCTGCGACGCCCCCCGGCGGGCACCACAAGGTGGCGGTTACCTGGGCTGGAGCGCTGGATGACAGGTGAGCCACCTCTCCGATTCTGGCAGCAGCCCGGGGGTCGCTGGAGCTGATCAGCACGGGAGCGCTGATTTCCATGGAATGCCTATTGCTCACGGTCTGGGAGGGTTTGTGGGTCACACTGAGCGCGGTGAAGGAGTGGCGTTTCTTGGCATTCTTCTTGCCATCGATACGCCGCTGAAAGGCACTGACCGCTCCTGTGCTGCTTAAAGTGGACCTTGGGGCCAGAGTGGCCGCGGCGCTGGGGTCAGAGGGCAAGGAGGCATCGCAGCCAGACGCAGCCCCTAAGCACGTCTTGTCCATCTCAATAAGCTGCTTGGCGGAGTCGTTGAGCTACGTGAAAAAGGAGGAGAAGGGGGGGGGAGGGAGGATTCATTAAATAATTGTCACATTCTATTTCCAGCTCTCTGCACGCTCTCCCTGGCCTCTGCTAGCATTTAAAAATGGACATTGGCCGCGCCTGCAAATTGGTCTGCTCTTTCTAACCGCCGTGGCCAAGCATGAATGGCACAGTGTACAACAGAAAAGGACACCACAGGACAGAGGCTGCAAGGACATCTGTAGATTTTGATGGGGAAGCTTTCAGGAGCCGTCTGCTTGCAAGGGCTCGTCGGACTGGGACAGAGAGCCGGGGGCTTGGTACAGATGGGGAGAGTTTGGCCTTCTACCAGGTCTCACACACATCTTTCACTGGGCTTTCCGTTTCCGGGGGGGTGGGGGTCAAGGTGCAAATGACCAGACAGAGGGAGAGGGATGAGGGGCGAGAGGCCCTCCTGAGCAAGCCATAGTCAATGATGGGCAACTGAGGATGGTCCGAGAGAAGGGGACAGGGCACTCTGTTCGGTCATCCCTTCACTATCCGGGCCACTCTGCGGGGGAAATTTAAGGTACGTGACCAGGATGTCTGTCACCACTAGACCTAGACAACTGCTGGTGGCTAAAGAGTCTGATCTGGTGACAGGGAGACAAAGGAACACGGGTACTCCTTCAAAGTACATGGTGTCTGACCACTAGCATTACAGAGTTGTGTGTGATCTCTGGATTCCTCTTCCTAGGAATGGAGTCTGCTCTGATGATCCACACTGAGAAGCTGACCCGGGACCCTGCCTCCTGGCTCCCCCAGCCTCTGCGTCTCCTTAGGATCTTGAGCAATTCAGCACGAACTCAGCTTATTACTCCTTCCCATATCTCCCAGGTGCTTTGCTATCCACGGAGTTGTGTCCCCCAAGAAGACTGTTGAAGTCCCAACCCCCAGCAACCAGGAAGGTGACCTTGCTGGGAGAGAGCATCTTTGCAGATGTTAAGAATAGCCATGCTCCTGTACCAAGTCCTACTGGCATAGGGTGGGCCCTCATCAGACCGGCGTCGTGATAAATAGAGAAGGAACATGGAGACACAGACACAGAGATGAAATGGGAGCAGCGATCAGAAGGATGCATCCACAAGCCAGGGAATGCAAAGGATTTCAGGACCGCTGCAGAAGGTAGGAGAGAGGCATGGGGCAGCATCCCCTCAGAGCCTCCAGAAGGAACCAACCTGGCTCATGCCTTGATTTTGAACTTCCAGCCTCCACAAAGTGTGAAAGAATAACGCTGTTATTGTAAGCCACTCCGTTGCTGGCCCTTTGGGTTCAACAACCCTAGCAAACCAGTAGCAAGCCCCTGGGCTTACAAACAACCACACAGGCTCAGCTACCAGCCAGAAGGAGACATGGATGCTTACACCTGCCCAGAGGTGCCTTGTAACTCAGGTCTGGCAAGGAGCTTTAGACAGGTCACAGCCATGAGTACCTCACGAGCCTGGTTCAACTCTGACACTCACGACACTGCTGTCCTTTGCGATCAACTGTATGGCGATTCACAACAATAAAGGAAATCAGTATACACCAGTCCACACAACAAAGAGATGAGGTTTAAAGGGTTTGCTTTTTGAAACAACAATAACAAAGTTGATCCTGGATGGCATTTGTCTGCAAAGATGAGGCCAAGGGCTTGGTTCTATGAAGAACTGGTTTTTCTTTGGAATGCCCACGGCAGCTCGAGCCACACCTCTTCCTTTGCAGGGAGCACAGTCACAGTGGGTGGCACTGAGGCTGGGACTCGGTTAGTCTCCTCACACACAGGGCAGATCCGTGAGCTGACCGGCTGCAGGCACCGGGCTTTGGGAGGAGGTGTGACCTCAGGGGAGACGAAAAAACATGTGACATCCTGAAAGGAGGGGGCTGGGGAACCCCTTTCTTCTTCGGCTGTATTGAGTCCAGCTATGTTCATACCTAAAGAGATATTTTCAGCGGTGGAAGGACTCAAGCAGATGGAACTATTTATTGTTAAAACACTTGTGTGTACAGGGGTGGCCAGGAAGAAAGAAAAAAAAATGTTAGGAGTAGCTTGGGATCCTCTCCACAAGATGGTTAAATAAATGCCAGTGTGCTAGGTAAATTCTTGTAAAATTCCATTATGTCTGCCTCATATTTCAAGGAAGTAACAGAAGAAACTGAGTAAATACCAGCTAACCCTCTGGGCCGAATGACCTAGAAAAGCACATCATCAAACAAGAGGGAGCGAAAACAATTTCTCTTCTTGTTTTTCTCCTCCTCGAACACAAAACAGTTGTGGGTATCCCGGGCTATGGCTGGGCTGGGGCAGGCAGAGGTGTTCTGTAAAGGGTCCACAGTGAACATTCTCAATTTTGCAGCCCATACAGCTTCCGTTGCCACGACTTGCCTCTATTGTAGCCCCAAAGCCACAGAGGACGCCGGAGGGCGCGGGCCTGGTTGCACTCCAACAAAACTCTATTTCAAAAATAGGATGCAGGACACTCTGCTGACCCTGGTGCTATAGCAAAGCTCCCCTGGCAATACGTCTCCAAGCTGGCTTTTTGATTGGGAGCTTAAGATTCCTATTTGTGTTCTCCCAGACACAGGCCTATCGACATAAACTCCATGGTAGATCCTAGAGAGGCTAACCGCCCTGGGACAGTCTGAGTAGATGCAAAGTAGGGCACCCCCTTGCAGCCAATCATTTGGCCTTTGGTCCTGCTTCCTAGGAGCGTACTCAACCACGCTTGAGGCCAATGGATCAGACTGAGAGGGGTCTCCTGGGCCAGGGTGCTGACAAAGCTTCTGGCAGCAGGACGTCATCTGTGATGGCCACATGGGAAGAAAAGATGTCTTTGATGCTTCCTGGGTGGGAGAGAGTAAGCATAGTCTCTTGAGAGGGCCAGCAAGTCCTGGGGACACGGAATGGCACCAAGACCCTAATTCTTGCCACTTGGATTTGCATCGTGTGTGTGTGTGTGTGTGTGTGTGTGTGTGTGTGTGTGTGTGCGCTAAATTAGTCACAGCCTCTTTCTCTGTAGTGTGTGAGCCATTTCAATGAACGATCAGACCTATGAGACAGACAAGAGGACAGCAGTGGCTGATGTAGCCCTGGGTGAATGGGCCTGAGGAAGAGAGAAGGGCCAGGTGACATAGCCCCAGGTGAAGGGGATGAGAGAGACAGGGCTGGGTGGAGCAGCTGGGGTCTGGGCTGACCAAGAAAGGGGAGCTGAGATTGCCTGCACTGGTTTGATGTCATTGGGGAGGTGAGCTGGGCTAGCTAGAGAACGCTGGCTGATTAGGTACTCTTTGGATTCCAAAGGGAACGTGGGCACTCAGGGATGCAGTAGTAGCTATAGCTCTGATAGATGAGGGGGCCAGAGAAAGCCTCTCTGCCCTGACTTTGAACCATGGCTTTGAACTTAGGCGTCCTAGTTTAGTCACAGCTGAGGAAGTCTCTTGGAAACAGGAATGGACTGGAGTTTGTAACATATGGGCGAACTAGAACAGCAGCAGGACGTGGGGAAACCGCAGGCTGACGCTAGGAGATTCATCTCACTCTTAGACAAGGGGAGTGTGAGCATTCCATAGAAACCACACCTCTTGATCGGCAGTCAGAAACACTGAATGCCTTGCTTAAAGATGGCGGCCGACCTCTCTGCTCTGACTAGGCACCGCTCTTCACAGTGTTGGCAATAGTCCAGTCCCCTGCCTCACGCTGCCTAAAGGATCCCCTGCACCCCTGCTGAGTCTCCCATTCCATGGCTTCAACTCAACATTTCAGGCTCTACTTAGTGTTCTGCTGCATCCAAATGGTTAAAACCTCGGGTCTGCTCTGAGCTTGCTTTGCCAGCTGCCATGACAGAGTCAACCGGAGGCCCGGCTCTGAACACACTGAAAACCACCGGGGACCGGGTATGTTCTCGTGAGTGCCCAAGAAGTTTCCACAGCTCCAGTCCATTTCTTCTCAATGGGTTCACAAGTGGAACCGTGCCCCCCCACCCCTCCAAGGAAGCACCTGTTTTCCTAAAATTCCCTTCCAGATCTGGACGGCAGCCGAATCCCGACCATTGTTCTCCTCTGTGACAAACGAGGCGAGGGCAGGCATGTGTTTCCTGACTCTTTTCCCGAGAGCTTGCCTACAGTGAGGCGTGTGGGTGCTTGTGGAACCTGGGGAGTCGGCGGGGTGCAAATGCCATTCTGTTGTCAATGGACGCAGGTGACAGAGATTGGGTGCTACCAGGCCCCAAAGGCACTCACTCTTTGATGTGGGCCTGGCAACCACGGCAATGAAACGCATATGGAAGACCGGAAAGAGGACGGTGCCCCTACAGTCGTCCACACCGCTGGGACTGAGCCTCAGTCACGGAGGCAGCGCCCACGGTCTTCCAAAGCCAAGTGGATTCACTAGGCCAGCCTTTGAATGGGAGCTACGCACACAAGGTGGAGGCCAACTTTGGGATCCCATCAGAGAGGGAGGGTCGGACATGTTAGGGATTTATGCAGCTCCGTTCGGTTCACTGTCATGAGTTGATTCTGACTCATAGTGTAGGCTAGAACCACACCTGCGAGTCTTCAAGACGGTATTTCTTTCTGGGAGTAAAAAGTCTCATCTTTCTCCCTGGGAGCAGCTGGTGATTTCAAACTGCTAACCTTTCCGTGAGCAGCCCAATGTGTAGCCCAGTATGCCACCCTCTATATATGTGTTGGAATCCCAAGCACGGTGAATGCAATCCGATTTGAGAATAGATTTTTCTTTGTTGTGCTCCTGAGACTAGATCAGTGGAACCCATGACCACTGAGTCCACTTTGACTCAAAACAACTGTTCAGAATTTCCAAGGCTGTAAATCTTGACAGGAGCAGACAGCCTCGTCTTTTCTAGAGGAGTGGCTGCTGGGTTTGAACTGTGGGACTTTCAGTTACCGGTCCAATGGTTACCCTGATGGCTTTCAAACCATGCACTGCCATGAAGTCAATTCTGACTCACAGTGACCCTATAGAACAGAGTAGACCTGT